AAACCACTGCTCAAGAAAATAAGAGAGGACAGAAACAGATGTAAAAACACTCCATGCTCATGGTTAGGAAGAATCAATATCATGAAAATAGCCATACCACCCAAAGTAAATTATAGATTCAATGCTATCCCCATCAAGCTACCACTGACCTTCACAGAACTGGAAAAGATTACCTTAAACTTCATATGGAACCAAAAAACAGCCTGTATAGGCAAGACAATTCTAAGCAAAAAAAGAACAAACCTGGAGACATTACGCTACGTGACTTCAAACTATGCTTTAAGGCTACAGTAATCAAAACACATGGTGTGGTACCAAAACAGAGATGTAGACCAATGGAACAGAACAAAGACCTCGGAAACAATGCCACACATCTACAACCATCTGATCTTTGACATACCTGACGAAAACAAGCAATGGGGGAATGATTCTCTGTTTAATTAATAAATGGTGTTGGGAAAACTGGCTAACCATGTGCAGAAAGCTGAAATCCAGATGGATTAAAGATTTAAACATAAGACCTAACACCATAAAAACCCTAGAAGCAAAACCTAGGTAATACCATTTAGGACATAGGTGTAGGCAAGGACTTCATGACTAAAACACCAAAAGCAATGGTAACAAAAGCCAAAATAGACAAATGGGATCTAATTAAACTTAAGAGCTTCTGCACAGCAAAAGAAACAATCATTAGAGTGAACTGGCAACCAACAGAATGGGAAAAAATTTTTGCAAGCTACCCATCTGACAAGGGCTAATATCAGAATCTACAAAGGACTAAAACAAATATACAAGAAAAAAACAACCCCATGAAAAAGTGGGTGAAGGATATGAACCGACACTTTTCAAAAGAAGACGTTTGTATGGCCAACAAACAGTGATGACCATCATCACTGGTCTTTAGAGAAATGCAGCTCAAAGCCACATTGAGATACCATCTCACGCCAGTTAGAATGGCGATTGTTAAAAAATCTAGAGACAACAGATGTTTTGAGAGGATGTGGAGAAATAGGAGCACTTTTACATTGTTGGTGGGAGTGCAAATTAGTACAACCATTGTGGAAGACAGTGTGGCAATTCCTGAAGGATCTAGAAGTAGAAATTCCATTTGACCCAGCAATCCCATTACTGGGTATATACCCAAAGGATTATAAATTGTTCTATTATAAAGACATGTTCACAAGCATGTTCATTGTGGCACTGTTTACAATAGCAAAGACTTGGAACCAACCCAAAAGCTCATGAAGGATAGGCTGGATAAAGAAATTTGGCACATATACACCATGGAATACTATGCATCCATAAGGAAAGATGAGTTCATGTCCTTTGCAGGGACATGGATGAATCTGGAAGCCATCATTCTCAACAAACTGACACAAGAACTGAAACCCAAACACCTCATGTTCTTGCTCATAAGTGGGTGCTGAACAATGAGAACACATGGATACAGAGAGGGAAACATCACACACTGGGATCTGTTGAAGAGTTGGGGGCTACAGGAGTGATAGAAGGGGGTGGGGAGGTAGGAGAGGGATAACATGAGGAGAAATACCTAATGTAGGTGAAGGGGGAATGGAGGCAGCAAACCACCATGGCATGTGTATACCTATGTAACAATCCTGCAAGATCTGCACATGTACCCCAGAACTTAAGGTATAATTAGAATAAAAAGGAAAGAAATACTAGTTGGGAAAAATAATGAAGATGTCTAGAAAAATAAACAATTAAGAAATTCCCTATTAAATTCTACATGTGTCCTCACTACAACAGTTTGTGCACAGCACTGAAATAGCTGAATAGGGAATACAAGAACCATAGTAATTTTTTTTCTTCCTTCATGTGGAGTAAAACTTTTCTGGTTTTGTTTATAAATTTAGTTTTCATTTTCTTCTTTTTCTTTTTGGTGAAACACGAAATTCCATAATAATTTAAACTTTTGCTAAGGGAATTATCCGTTGGTGTAAATAAATTTCCATAGCCAGTCACCTGATTAGAGAAATATCCTCTAGGATAAAAGGCTAGGAGTCGAATAGCTAGAATTATATATTATTTCTTTAACAATGCACCCAACATGCAAAGAACGCTTCCTGTAGTTTTATTCCTGCAACTTTTCCTAACCTTGTTATATGTGCCATTATTTGGTGTATTATTTTTTGAATTATTTCTTCTAAGTCTGAAAGCAGACTTTTAATTTCATCTCAACCATGAATTATTTTTAATTTTTAATTTTCAAAATTTAATTGGTATAAACATTAAAATATGATATAAAATTTGATACCAAGAAACACCAGTCCTTTTTTGTATCTGGAAAGCAGTGCTATAAAATGCATCTTTTTCTGCTTAAGAATATTCTTTTGATTGTTAGCTTTCTTAAATTACAGTGAGGTTGGTCTACCTCTGAACCATATACATTCCTTTTTGAGAGTTGCAGTCAGCACAATCATATTCCTACATTTTCCTGCGATTGAACGTCAGAATCAAGAATTCCGTGCAACTCTGTTTTACACAAGAGAGAAGGGTAATGGAACAGCCTAAGCCTGGAAGTACACTGTTGTGGTATATCATCAGGTACCAGAGTGGCACTGAAAGTTAGGGCAGTGCCCAAGAGTATGTTTCTTACTGTTTCTATGAAAGATAGAAACAGAAAAAAATCCTTTAAAATACTCAGGTAAGAATATGCTAAGCCAAGGGATACTTTAGTTATCAAGTATGGCATATTGTTGTAACTCTTAGAGAAATTGTTGTTGGAATTGGAATTGGTGAATAATTGTTGTTGGTGTTGGAAATTCTAAGCTGACTCTCAAAGGAAAATAAAATACAAGTTGGCATTTAAAGACACTTTCTGACTTTTAGATATAAGTTTTCTGAAATAAGTAGACTATAGAATATACAGTGTGTCCCTGGAAAAATTTTAATTTAAAATTGCTTTTCTCTTGCTTTTCTATTAAACACCGATTATCCTTTTTCCATTAGATATGATGACAGTTAGGCAAGGTGATCCTTAAAGCCTCATGGTCCCTGTTCATGTTTTTCAAACTTAGATCTTTTTAGCAAACCATCCATATACCTTATATTTTTCACTCTCACCATTGGTTGAAAAGGGAAATTAAAAATAGCTAGAGGTAATATGCTTTATTCTATTTTTATATTGTTGACTAAGGAACATTTTCGGCATGATGGTGAGAGAAGAAAATACCACAGCTATTCTCATTTACCCATTCTCCTCAAATTGCCTCCATTTTCTCTTCTATTTGTTTGAAACATTCTGATAAATTATTTGATTTATGAAAATTACTCTCAGGCTCTGGAGTAACCGTCACTAACTACTGTATAGTTTTCAGTAATTTATTGCTCATTAATTATTTAAGATTGCAATAAAACTAAATGGGAGAAAGGCTTCATTTATGGGGAAAACAGTATTTCATGTGAATAGACTATTTCAAGATACTTTCCTGTGTCTGGGTTAGATTTTCCAGTGGTTGTTTTTTTTTTGCAGATTCAATATAAAATTTGCATTTATAAAAGCCAGTGAAAGCCACAACTCAGTTATTCAAATATACATGTTTTATTCTTTGCTAGAAATCAAATTTTTTTAAAAGTGAGATATACTAGTCAAGGTGCCCAAACATCTAATATATTCTTTTTTGAATATGATATTAAATTTCTGAAAGAAACCTTCAGATCTTTGTATATGGTAATATTATCCAGCAGGCATAATAATATTTCTGAAACTCCCAAGAAGGACAAACTATTTTCTAAATAAGACCCTTACATTTTTGGAATTTTTCCACATGGTCCCAAAAGAGCATAAACTTTTTAATGGCTATTCAGGTTGGCTTCACTGAAAAAGTATTTTATTGTCTATAAACCTGTTGAGTAAAAATCAAATAATAAACACATTTTCATTCTATGTATTTTAATGAAAAATCTTCCCACATCTTCAAATGTGCCCCAAAGGTCTTTTGCTTTCATTTAAATTGTTTAAGATATTGTTAGTGTTTTGAAATACGAGAATGCATTTTGTCTTTAGAGTTGTATAACTTACATGTTACTCAAAAATATTCTAAGAGATCATCTCTAGAATAGCTTCTTCACTCTACAAATAAAAAAAGTGTGCTCTCTTGATGAAGTTAATTAAGCCATTTGAAATTTATGACAGAGATACTAATTTTCCAGTTGGTGGCATAGATTAGTTCAGTAAACATGTGTTGAGTACTTACTGGAGGCTTTTAGATAGCTGGGAAATAATAGTGGACTTCTAACAGCTTATCTAATAGAATGTGCAGATGCATAAACAGACAATTTCAATAGAATGTGTTAAATGTGGTAATAATGGTAAGTGCATAACATAAATATAAAAGAGGAAAGTGAATTTATTTAATAAGCACTTTTCATTTTCCTTTAGTTGACATTTATTGAACACCTGCTATATGCCAGGAGATAAGCAACAGAAACTAAAATAGACATAGTTCCTGATTTCAGGATTCTTAATATGTTGGAAGACAGCTGTCAATTAATCACACAAAAATGTGCAATAAAACTTAAATGAGTGCTTTGAAAGAAAGAATACGGTTCAAGAGCATATACAAAAGAACCTGCTGAGCTCCGGGTTCAGAAAAGAATAACTTCTTATCCAATTACATTGACAGTCTGCAGGTTGAAGGGGTCAGGCTCATTTACTTTAACAGTTAAGGTTTTATTTTCCCCTTAATTTAGAAATAACAGATTCTCTTCTAAGCAGCTTAGTTTGTGCAGATAATTTCATAAGTTTGGGAATGTCACAGTCAGAAATTATGCCCAAGTTGCAACATTGGGTGACCTCAGCAGATGCTGTCATTTCCACTGCCAAGTGCAGACATTTCAGAGTGCCCTGCCAACCTGGGTGGAGATGCCAGCACAAAGAATCCTGTCATTCTGTTTCTGGACTTGGGATGTCTCTGGCCACTTCATTGAAACGAATTCCATATATAGCTGTCTTCCAAAATTTTTCTGATGAACAGAGGCAGGATTCTATGAAGCTACTGAGGCTTATGCTGACTTGTATGGGTTCCTTCCAAAACCTCAGGTATGGTTCAAGCAATGTATTCCTTTGAGTCACATATTTTTGTAAAATTTGGAAAAGTAAGGTATTCCAATCTCAATAAGTTAAGATGGCTGTTTTCTTCTACTTCAATTTCCCCTCCGTAACACTTTTTCTTGTGTCAGATGGTTTTGAAGTGGCCCCAAGAATTTTTGGAATCTATCTAACAGCAAATGAAATTGGGTTATTTACTTTGCATTTAATGGAATATGTTTATGTAGTTTTGAGACTCTGGGAAAAATTAAACTAAACTATTGACAACTGTCCTAGTATAGGAATGGCTTCCGGAAAAATTCCTGTTGCCTACGGTACTGAGTGCTGACTCATCTGACATTACGACACAAAGCTGCAGGGCCAGAGGTCATACAATGTGAATGTGTCTTGCAGGGGCAGCACCATAGTTGTGTGGGTCATGGAGGGGACCAAGGTTTGAAAGGTATAGAGTAAGAAGCTAGTCTGGGGAAAATTCTTCCAATCATCAGATCTGTAATATTGTAAGCAGTTGAGCTGGTTATCATCAGTGTCAAGTCAAAAGGAAAGTCTTCCCTTATTAGATATGTACTTGATCATGCAGCATGTGTAATTGTCAATGCACCAAATATATTTTTCTTGTATTGATGGGAATCCATGAACTAGAATGTATTAAAACTAATAAATCTTAATAAAGATGACCTATAGCAGTACTACAAACAGCAAGCACATTCATTTGTGAATGTTGTCATATACATCCAAAATAAATTAAAAAACAAATATTGATCAAACTTATCAATGGGAAAACTAAAATAAATTTTAATTTTTAAATAGAAAATAAGAAAATAATTAGTTTCTATGAAGAAGCACAGAGAATTCATCTAATATGGGAAAGAGTGCATTTATACAGGTATGACAAGAAGTCATTTAATTAAAAATGTATGTTAGTAATTCGTGCCATATCTGAGCCTGGCTTTGATGCTAGGTTGAACTTTTTATACTGCGTTTTCTTTTTTGTCTTTTAGTATGCCTGTTATTATTATGATTTTTTGAAGCTGAGCATGATGTATTGGTCAAAATGAACTGTGGTAAATGGGACTTTAGTGTGAGGCTTTATATTAATCTGACCAGGAGGTAGGATGTGTTTCATGTTTTGTGTTTGTTGTAGGTGCCAGAGACTTCAAATTCCTCTAACATCCCTGTTCTGGTCTCTCCTGTTATCTTCAGAATTCCCTAAGAAGTTCTCATTAAGTCAGTGCCTTGCAGCTCTTTAATGTGTAATCTGTTATTATTATATAGGGACCCCATAGATGTGGTGCTTAGTTATGGGGAAGGGGATGCCATCTATAATCTTGTGGTTAAATTTCAATCTTTTAGTGGGCCTGTGGGCCTTTATTCTTGGCTTGTGAATGCTACAATTTTTTTTTTTTCAGTTTTTGTCCTCCACTTAAGTGAGATAGGAAGGCTAGAGGGTGCTGGAGGAGAATAAATTCCTTTTCCCCAGATGTATTAGGTTCTGGTAAAATATTTTTCTTGTTATATAGAACAGTTAGTATATTTAAAAGTGGCTACTCTCCTTTTCCTCTGATAGAACTGTGAGGGGGGTTTCTCTTGGCTCCTGACCATGAGAACCTGTTGAGATTCCTAGGGGTAAAGCCCACAAAAGCCTGAAGATTTTCCTAAGACTGTGGCTTGTAGGAGTTTCTCATTCTCAAGTTAATCTATAATTAGCCTACAGCAAGTTGTCAATATTACCATTTAAGTATTTCTATAATTTATAGCTCCAGAAACCTGTGCTCTGGGTAAATAGAGCTTGGCAATGTTTCTCTGTATTCTGCTGTCTTTCTAGACTTTGTGTGGTGGTTCACCATATAACCTTGATTCTCTGATGAGATTGTTGATTTTCAGATTGTTTAGGTTTTTAAAATTCTTATCTTAAGGATGGGAGTGTTCTTCTATATGTCAGAACTGAAACTAGATGTTGAGGATGCTTTTTAAAAGTTTTATTTTGCTTTTGTCATTGTAAAAAAATAATTGAATTGTACAGCGACCATGCATTGGTTAAAAAGCCCGGATATTATTGATCTTTTCATTCATACACTTGATCCTCTTTTGGCCTAACATTAGACATTTGGTAAAACTCAGACCCTTCACTAGTTTTAAAATGAAATCTAATTTAACTGATTATTTTATTATTCTTTTCCTTTTATTAGTTTTGTAGTCTCTACTTAAGATTTATAGAGGCATCGGAAAGACCACAGTGACACACTACACACCATGTCTTCAGACAAATTCTCATTAAACATGTCTTTCACAAAGTCCCTCTGCCTGATTCCTACTTCAGATAATCTACTTCTTTACCATCCCCAATATATCCTGTGCGCATTCCCCAGGATTGATACTCAGTCCTCTTTTAATAAAAATGGAATTTTATAAATAAACCGGCCATACTTTCCTCATGAACAGCCTCTTCCAAGTATCTCTAATCCATTCACACTCTTTGGCAATGGTGAACCGCTTTATAAATCAGCTCCAGATGGTTCACACACTCCAGCAACTTGGGCTGTTTCTAGAGAACAGCACTGTCCCTTTCTCTCTGGCAAGATGATTTGTCACCAGTAAGCTTTGTGTTCCTGTCATAGACAATTATTTTGGAAGAGATCTAGATTGTAGCCAGGGTTGCGGAAGTGTCTTCTCCTAGTTATTAGTTCCGTTATTTTCCACTTTTCCTCAGCCTAGGGTTAATAGCTCCTCTGTTGCCTGTGCGATGCCTGGACTTCTTAGAATCCTCTTCCATACCTTATAGTAGTTCATTACCTTCTACTAGTTAAAAACTCCTTATAAAGTTCCCCTGCTCAAATAACCATGTGTTTTTCTGCATTCCGGTAGGCTTGATTTATTTGGCACAATATATTTTTCCTGACTCCTCACCTGTTTCCCTTTTATAGTGAAATTTTAAGTTTATAGGCTGTAAAGCATAAGTCACAAACTATACTTTAATCATTTCAAACTTTTCAATATCTTGCACTGTTCTTGGGATGTAATAAGTGATCAAACATAGTTTGAATGAATGAATAATGGTGATGATTTTTATATTGATAAAATGAGAGTGTTTATATACAATACATTTATGGTCCAAAGGAAAAAATAACATAGAACAATGAGTGCTAATTAATGTCATTTTCCCTAAACTTTCATACTTTAACATTTTTCTTCACTTTTTTCCCAAATTTCAATTACTTTTGAATTACTTTTTGGATTAGTAATGAAAATTGGAGTAAAGTTTTCTGAAGGACATTTCTCAAAAATGACTTAATTCTCCCAAATTAAACATGTTCCAAATGAAGAATTTCAATTTTCTTCTCTAATGAATTAATCCATGAATTGCATGATTTGCTCATTCTTGTTAAATGAAGAATAAATAGGCCTCTAAAGTAAAACTAATTCATTTCCCTACAGTACTCATGGTTTTCATTAGGTTCTTTCTAATATTAAGGAATGTTAAACCACAAGATTATATTTTTTTCCCAGAAGATAAACATATCAATACCATATTCAATGAGTTTTACAAAATCCTGTATTTGGCAATGAAGGCACATCATTAGGATATTCCAGACATCTCTTTAATTCATTCTAGTTCATCAGAGACAGTTACTCTGAGGTTTCTTGTATTCATTGTCCACAATTAATAAGTGTGTCCTTTATAAATTTTGCAAAATAATGAAAGACAATTGAATCTGTAAGTGCTTTTCCAAACACACTACTCTCTGATTTGTACATGCATAATATTAATTCAGGCATTTTGTTTATAAGGTTTCACCAACATAAAAATCTTCATTTCCAAATTTCATCAGTTGAGTTATTGAGAATAGGATACATTTATTAAAGAAAAATTGCTTGCCCTTCAAGGTTTTAGATATTTTGTCATGTTTCATACATCACTAAAGGTTTCTTTAACCCAAATTCTTGTTTTTCCCTTTTTGGAAAAGATAGGCAAGTTAGATTAAGTGAAAATTTTGCTCAGTAATGAAAATTGGAATATATGAATTGGTTATGTAAATTGTGTGATATATTGCAAGGAATTATAAATCAAGTTCTGGCCCTACTTTCACCTGCTCAAAAAAATGGGTCCCTTCTCTCTGCTGTACTGAGTGAAATCTTATCTCCAGAAGTCAAGGAACAGCTGTTTACTAATAGATCACAGCAGGAGAATAAACACAGCAGTCTGGGCAGAGAATATTTTTCACTCTTGTGCAACTTGTTTCTCAATATTTTGTCCTCTGTTGTGGATTATAAAGTGTGTGAGAGTAAACATCAGCCATCACTCTTCCTCTCCTTGAATGAGGAATAATACTTAAAACCATATTAATAATTCATGTATTCTGAACCATTTGCAACAGGGTTCCTTATTGAATAAAATGAGTGCCAAATAGGAACAGGTTTGGATTTACTTTTCTAATTAATCAAAAAAATTCCCAACGTGTTACGATGACAGTACTTCTTTCAAATGAGGCATCTCCAATTTGCCTGTTTTTAATGTTCTGTTATATTACGTTATTACCAATTACTGAATGCCTTCTATAATTACATGGCTATTGTAACAGTCTAGGTGAGATATGATGAGTGAACCCAAGGAGCAGTGAATGAAATAAAAATATTTCAAGAGCGTAAGAATTTTCAAGGGTTTCAAATATTTCAGTGAGGTCATATATAAAAGGAAATGAAAAAAAAATCTAACAACAGTCATTGGATTTGGCAATAAGGAGATTTGGGTGACATTGCCATCAGGTTGGGAGCTATACTATGAGGAATAAGAATTGATTATCAATTACTTTTTTAAGAAGATTGGCAGTAAGGACCACAGAACTCATGTGAGGTTTTGTTTTAGGTAGGGTAAGCAAAATGCATTTTTCGGGGTGGTTGAAGATATATCTAGAATGATCCCTTTTTTAATTTCTAAAAGTATCTGCTTGCAAGTTAGGCTAGGGTTGTGGAAGATACTCGGAAACTACTATTAACTAAATAGGAAGGATCATTTTGGGGAACACAATAAAGATCTAAATAAAAGCATTGATCTTTGAATTTGTGCATAACTTAACGATATCACTTTACCTTCAAATATAGTGGCATTCACTGCTTTCTTCTTTCATTTTAATGATGCTCAAAAAAATAGATACCTGAACTATAGACACAATGACACAGAAAATTAATATAACTTAAAAGGATAAACAATTCTAAAAAGATACTTAGATATTGACATTACCCTGCCATTAAACCCGTGTGCTGCTTACTTTATTGCCTGAGAGCAAGCCCCCTATTCTAAGCACCAAAGCTTATCTAAGGTAGTTGAAAGAATACAATCTCTGAAGTCTTAATAATAAAAAAAGACTTTAAATTTTTTTTTATAAAAGAGCTGTTAATATAGTATAACAGGAAAAATACCATCTCAAATTAAACAAGCAAAACACTAGACAAAATATATGGAAAAATGATTTTCAAGATATTACATCAACCAATAACCCCCTAAGTGATGAGAAACAAGTGACTTGAGCCCAATGACTACTGCAGTTTACCGCTTTATGGGAGTATCTAGGCTGTAACCCAAGAAAGTAGAACCCAGGTGAAGCCTAGAAGACTCCTTCTTGAGTTGAGGAGATGAAGCTGAGGGTCCAGGTTGACCAAAACAGCTAGTTTGTGGGACAGTGGACTAGAAAGGTAAGACTACTGTGAGAGATAAAAACTAGATGTGAAAATTTCCAGTTACAAGGCTGGGAATAGTTCCTGTTCCCAGAAACCAGACTGGAAAATCCATGAAAATTTGGATAAATACTTAGAAGGGTTTTGCATCAGGAATAAGGCAATATTAGCCATAAACTAAAGACTGCTGCAATTTTGCTTAGTATATTTTAAACACAGCAGCCCCAAAGATCAAACTGTTTCCAAGCAACTTAATTGTATACAAACCCAAATTCAAAAATATTAATAAATGCACAAAAATATCTAGCACCCAAAGAGAAAAAATTTACAATAGCTGATATATAATTAAAATCTATCAGATATACAAGGAAACAGAAAAATATAACCCATAAATAAGACTTCATAATGTTAGGTTGAGTAGACAAAGATATTAGAAAAGTTGAGAGAAGGAAAACATAAGAAAAAATCTAGATAGACTTCTGGAAATGAAAATTATAATGTGTGAAATGAAAAATACAATGAAATGGTATTCAACATTGCAGAAAAAAAGACTAGTGAACTTGATCATACAATAGAAAGTTTCTAAACTAAAACTCAGATGGAAAAAAGAAACTGAAAAAAATGAAAAAAAAATTATTGAGCTGTGAGAAAACTTCAGGAAGCATAACATGCTTGTAATTTTTTACTCTCTTCAGAGAGTGAAAAAATTATTTGAGGAAATAATGACAAAACTTTTTCCAAAGGTGATGAAAACAGTAAGTCTACAGATCCAAGAAACTCCAACTCTAAACAAAAGGAACACTAACAAAACAATACCAAGGTACATCATAGTCATCTTATGATGAAGAGAAAGTGTTAAAGAAATCAGTGATAACAGGAAATCACTGATAAAGAAAAAAAACCTTAAAAGTACTCAGAGAAGAACACTACGTTATATTTAGAAAATGAAGAGAATGATGAATACTTTTCATCAGCTATGTAATTAAGAAGACAGTAGAGCAATATATTTAGTGTACTGAAAGAAAATAATCAACCAAGGAAATATATATCCTACAAAATATCCTTAAAATAAGGCAAAAATGAAGATATTTTTGATATAGAAAACCTGAAAGAGAGAGAGCCAAGATGGCCAATTAGATACAACCTGGAGGAACATCTACTGAAGGACAGGATGCTGGGAAGACTGGCACACTCCTAGCAGATCTTTAGAGGGAAGGCATTGAAAATGGATGGAGGGAGGATGTAGACATTGGACTGCAGGGGGAGGGATCTGGGAACCTTGTGTGGGGCTACTGAACATCAGGATCTGCTCCTGGCCCTCTGTGACTCATGGAGGTGGAGTAAGTTAAACAGGCAAAGAGTGGTTCACTCTTGCCACAGACCTATGGAATCCTAGTAGCAGGAGAACCTATGACCCTCGGGGACACTTGAGCTGGAAGAGACAATTTCTTAGAAAGTCCAGACGTTTTTCGCATAAGAATGGCTACAGTAGAGCATGGCCAGTGATGGCCATCCCCAAGACTGGCCAAGCTTCTCTATGTGGCTTTAGCCTTTGGAAGACTGTACAGAGCAGGGCAATCTTGCCTGTGGGATGGGGCCAGTTCCATCTGAGCTCACCTCTGTCTACCAGCCTCTTCCAGGTCCCCAGTCTGGCCACACTGGGAAACCCAGTACATTTGCAGTACAGCCTTGGAAACCCAATCAGGGTGCTTCCCAGGGGCCACCTTCATCATACCTCTTTTGATGGCATACCACACCTAACCATTGGAGAGCTCCAGCAGGCTGGACCCCACTGACACAACAACCTTACCTGTAGCCTCCCCCCATCACTTCAACCTCCCTATGACACTTTGCTTAATGCACTCCACCACAGCCACCCTCCATTGCTTTGCTGATGTATGCACATGAGTGGACCTCCCCACATCTTCCTTGATAGCACATTTGTTCAGATACACCATGATAATACTGCCAAAAGGAACACAAGAACACTATGCTGCCCTACGCACTCCTGCTAGCAAACCACACAGTTGCTGCCTCTGCTGGCACAAGTACATCCACAGACACTGAACCTTGCCCCCATCACCACCCTGCCTGCACTGCACCAACACTGCCACCACCAGGGTGAGTATGTGCATGGATGCCAGTGCTCCTGCTCACGCTAATGTCCCACCCCTTCTCTGCTGCCACTGCAAGTGTGTGCACACATACAGGCATCCCTGTTGCAGCCCCACTGACATGTAGGCACCCTGCCATTTCATCACCACTGTGAACGAATGCATAAATGCCTCTGTCCCACTCCTGCCAGTGCACTGGCCCAGCTGACTTGTATGCACTCCACTGTGCCACCATGGCTGCTGTCACATGTGAGCAAGCATGGATTCCCTCTCACTTCTCCCACAAAGCACTTTGGCTGGTATCCCCCCCATTGGAATGTTGGGGCCAGTGGACCAGGAACAACTCAGGCCCTTCAGTGCAACAGGTTTCTAACCTTGAGGGGACAGAGAACAAAGCAAGGAATCTACTACCAGCCCTGCACAGAGTTAGAAAACACAGTGCAGGAGTGCTGAGCTGAGCCAAGAACTCCTGAAATCTTCCAGAATTAAAGCCAGTTGACTGAACCCACCTTATATCACAATTAAAACCCCAAGGGCATCAAAGAAAATGAAAGAAAAAAACCCATCGCCAAACCATCAACTTTAAAGATTGAAAGAACATCAGCCCACACAAATAAGAAAGACCTATTGCAAGAAATACGGCAACTCAAAAAGCCAGAGCATCTTCTTACCTCCAAATGCCACACTAATTCCCCAGCAATGGCTCTTAACCAGGCTGAAATGGCTGAAGTGGCAGACATAGAATGCAGAAGATGAATAGGAACAAAGATCATCGAGATTCAGGAGAAAGTTGAAATCCAGTCCAAGGATTCTAAAAAATACAATAAAGCAACAGGAAATGAAAGACAGTGGCCATTTGAAGAAACAATCGAACTGATCTGATAGAGCTGGAAAACACACTATAAGAATTTTGTAATACAATTGTGAGAATTAACAACAGAATAGACCAAGATGAGGAAGGAATCTCAGAGCTCGAATACTGGTTCTCCAAGTTAACTTAGACAAAAATAAAAAGAATAAGAAAGAATTAGCAAAACCTCTGAGACATATGGGATTATGCAAGCAGATCAAATCTATGAATCACTGGTGTGCCTGAAGAAGAGAGGAAGCAAGCAATTCGGAAAATATATTAGAAGATACCATCCACAAAAATGTCTGCAATATCACTACAGAAGCCTACATTCAAATTCAGGAGACCCAGAGAACCTCTGAGAGATAATATACAAGACAATCATCCTCAAGACACACAGTATTTAGATTCTCTAAGGTCAACATGAAAAAACATTAAAGGCAGCCAGAGAGAAGGGACAGGTCACCTAGAAAGGGAACCCCATTAGGCTAAAGTGGACCATTTAGCAGAAATCCTAGAAGTCAGAAGGTATTTGGGACCTGAGCTAGACACTTGACCAAATGGACCTAACAGACATCTACAGAAGTTTTCATCCCAAACAACAGAATGTGCCTTCTTATCCTCTGTATATGGCACATACTCTAAAATTGACTACATAATCAGCCATAAGACAATTCTTAGCATACTTAAAAGAAAACAAAATTATACCAACCATACTCTTGTACAATGACAAAATATAAATAGAAATGAATACTAAGAAGATTGCTAAAAAATTATGCAATCACATGGAAATTAAACAAAACTGTTCCTGAATGACTGCTTGGTAAACAATGAAATTAAGGCAGAAATCAAGAACTTTTTTTGAGTCTAATGAGAACAAGGATACAACAAACCAGAACCTCTGAGACACAGCTAAAGCAGTGTTGAGGAAAGTTTATAGCGCCAAACACCCACATAGAAAAGTTAGATCTCAAATTTACAATCTAACATCACACATAGAAGAAGTTTACCACTGACCCCACAGAAATACAAACAACAAGACGAAACAAAACAAAACAAAACAAAACGTAACAGTCTATTATGAACAACTTTACACCCAAATAGCCAAGGCAATCTTAAGCAAAAAGAATAAAGCTGGAGGTATCACATTACCTTACTTCAAACTATACTACAAGCCTACACTTATCAAAACGGTATGATACTGGTACAAAAACAGGCACATAGACCAATGGAATAGAACACAGAGCCCAGGAAAAAGCCTGCACATCTATAGATATCTGATTTTTGACAAAGTTTACAAAAATAAGTAATGCGTAAAGGGCTTCCTATTCAACAAATGGTGTTGGGATAACTGGCCAGTTGCAGGCAGAAGAATGAAACTGGGCCCCTTCCTTACATGATATACAAATGTCAACTCAAGATGGATTAAATACTTAAATGTAAAGCCTAAAACTGTATAAGCAATAGAAGAAAATCTTGGAAAAACCATTTTGGACATAGGCCCTGGCAAAGATTTTATGACAAAGATGCCAAAAGCAATTGCAACATAAACAAAAATTGACAAATTAGACCTAATTAAACTAAAGAGCTTCTGCACAGCAAAATAAACTATCAACTGAGTAAACACACAACCCACAGAATGGAAGAAAATATTTGCAAACTGTATCTGACAATGGTCTAATATTCAGGATCTACAGTGAACTTAAAAAAAAGTAATAAGCAAAAGACAACCCCATTAAAAATAGGCAAAAGACATAAAGGTCACTTTTTAAAAGAAAACATACATGCCATCAACAAACATGAAAAATCCTCCACATCACTAATCATTAGAGAAATGCAAATTAAAGCCACACTGAGATAGCACCTAACAGTAGTCAGAATGGCTATTACTAAAAAGTAAAAACAAAACAAAACAAAACAAAAGAGATGTTAATGAGGTTGCAGTGAAAGGCAACACTTACACACTAGTCGTAGGAATGTAAATTAGTTCAGCAGCTTGGTGGTTACTTAAAGAAGTTAAAACAGAATTAACATTTTACCCAGCATTCCTATTGTTGTGTATATACCCAAAGGAATATAAATCATTCTTCCATAAAGACATATGCATGACTATATTCATTAAAGCACCTATTCACAATAGCAAAGGCATGGAATCCACCTAAGTGCCTGTCAATGGTAGTCTGGATAAAGAAAATATGGTACATATACATGATGGAATATTATGCAGCCATAGAAAAGAATGAGATCGTATCCTTTGCAGCAACATAAGTGGAGATGCAGGTCATTATCCTAACTGAATTGACACAGTTAGGATACCAAATTGACACAGTTAGGAAAACCAAATACCACATGATCTCATTTATATGTGGCAGCTAAACATTGAGTCTACGTAGACACAAAGAAGGGAACAATAGACACTGGGCCCACTTGAGGGTAGAGCATGGGAAGAGGATGAGGATTGAAAAACTGCCTATTGGGTATTAGGCTTATTATCTGGATGATGAAATATTTGTACACCAAACCCTCTTGATTTGCAATTTACATATATGACAAACCTGCACATGCACCCTTGAAATGAAAATAAAAGTTAGAAAAATAAAATTTAATCAAAAAACAATATAACTTGCTTTTATATGAATTCAGATGTAGTAAAAATAAAATGCCATTCTTAAATATAGCAGCCAATTAAATTTGAATGCAAGAGTATCAGACTGAGACATCCCAATCATAGTGTTATTCAGGGTTACATACAGTTAGATTTCTTTATGGTTTTAAATATTTTAAACTGTATTTCAATGCTAATCATTTAATAAATTATAAATCATAAATTGTACTTGTTTTATATAAAAGCAGAAAAAAATCTGAAAGAATTCATCTCTGGCGCCTTATAGTACATGAGATTTTGAAGGAAGCCCTTCAGGCAGAAGGTCAGTGATACCAGACCGAAGCATGAATCTAATCAGAGAAACAAATACTTAAAATGATAACTCCTTTGGTAAGAACTTTTTCTTATTATGTAAATATTTTAAAACATAATTGAATCTTTAAAAATATTTTAACAATGTAGTCTGCAGCTTATAATCTATGGCAATGTACAAAGCTTTAAGGTAACATAAGAAAAATGAAAGTATACTATTACAATGTTAGTATATTATGTGTTAATAATTATAATATCATTTGAATATAGATTGTTATAAGTTAGAGATATCTAATGTAAACCTATAGCAACCAATAGAGTAACAGTACAGAATTAGCTGACAAGCCAACAAAGAGGAGAAAACAGAATGCAAATAAAATTCAATTAATCCAAAAGACGGAAGAGAAGAGGTATAAGAGAAAAAAGAACACTGAGACATACAAACAAATAAAACCCAAAATCAAATAGCAACATGCGATGCTTAAGCCTGTCAATGATCACACTATGTATGCTCTGAATCAGAGTCCAGTATATGGTACTGTTTCTCTTGTAGCCAGGATTCATGGGTCCAGGAGTCAAGGGGTGGAAGTGGAAGTGACACCATTCACTATCACCCCTAGTGATCCGCTAACAAAATGTCTGCTTCTTGTTCCTGTGACATTATGTTCTGCTGGTCTAGAGGTCTTAGTTCCAGAGGGTGGAATGCTGCCACCAGGAGATACAACAATAATTCCATTCAACTGGAAGTTAAGATTGCCACATGGACACTTTGGACTCCTCCTACCTTTAAGTCAACAGGCTAAGAAGCGAGTTACAGTGTTGGCTGGGGTGACTGACCCAAACTATCAGAAGAAATCAGTCTACTACTCCACAACAGAGGTGAGGAAGAGTATGCATGGAATACAGGAGATCCCTTAGGGCATCTATTAGTTTTACCATGCCTTGTAATTAAGGTCAATGGGAAACTACAATAGCCCAATCCAGGCAGGACTACAAATGACCCAGACCCTTCAGGAATGAAGGTTTGGGTCACTCCACCAGGCAAATGCTATGACCTGCTGAGGTGCTTGGTGAAGGCAAAGGGAATACAGAATGGGTAGTAGAAGAAGGCGGTCATCAATACCAGCTACAACCACGTGACCAGCTGCAGAAATGAGGACTGTAATTGTCATGAGTATTTCCTCCTTCTTTTGTTAAAAGCATGTTTGTCTATATAGACACTTGTACTAAGAAAATATCTTCATTTTATTTCCTTTCTCCTTTACCATGTGGCATAAGATTTATTGACTTCAGATTAGCATTTAAGTGTTGTTAACTTTATGTAATAACTTTGGTTTGGGGATTGGTGCATTTCTTCTTGTATGAAGGATATTTGTATTATGTTAGGCATATTATGACCTTATGGTCTTTATTTGAAGATTATGTATGATCTCAGGAGACGTGTGTGGATTCAAGTTGACAAGGGTTTGACTTGTGATGATTAATACTGAGTATCGACTTGATTGGACTGAAGGATACAAAGTATTGATCCTAGGAGTATCTGTGAGGGTGTTGCCAAAGGAGATTAACCTTTGAGTCAGTGGGCTGGGAAAGACAGACCCACCCTTAATCTGGTGGGCACAATGTATTCAGCTGCTAGTGCCTAGAATATAAGCAGGCAGAAAAATATGAAAAGAGAGACTGGCTTAGTCTCCCAGCCTACATCTTTCTCCCAGCTGTATGCTTCCTGTTCTTGAACACTGGACTCCAAGTACTTCAGTTCTGGGACTCGGATTGGCTCTCCTTGCTCCTTGCCTGCAGACAGCCTATTGTGAGACCTTGTGATCATGTGAGTTAATACTTAATAAACTCCTATCTATATCTATATAGATATTTAACTATATATATCTATATCTATAGGTATTTAGCTACATATATAGATAGACATAGATATTTAGCTATATATATCTATAGATATGTCTGTAGATATAGATATATAATAAACTCCTAGATTGATAAATAGATAGATAACCCTGAATGATACACTGGGCAAAGTACCTAACTTCACTGACTCTCACATTTCATTTCCTCATTTTAAAATATGAGGATAATATTATCTCTCTAGCCTACTTTACAAACATCATAAAGTCTCAAATAATACATTGTTAAAATCTGGCCATATTCATGCAAAAACTCAAATATAAACAATTATTGCTATGCATAAAAAAGCAGGGACTATGTAAATCAAAGGCAGGGACTATATTAATCAATGCTTTTAAACAATGCATTTAGTTGGGGACAAATGAGATTGCTTTGCCCTCTGGAATGATCAAGAACTAGGTGAGATTACAAGATTACTATACAAATGCCATAGGTGAAAATTAATTCATTTCTTACCTATGATGCATTTACCATTGCCACTGAGGTCTCATGAATTTTCTGGTTTTGTCCAGTGCTTTTTGTAATCTGATGCCTGATTCTGCCATGGGATAGCATGCTGGGGGCATTTGAGGTCATCTGAATGTACTGTAATGAATGCACTCTCTCATCAGTAATTGTACCCTACATCAAAATGGGCTGCCCAGTTACTATTTTGTAATGATGGTAGTACCAGTGAAAGAGTAAAACATGTTTACAAAATTGACAGCTGCTTAACAAGAGCTTTTGATATACCCATCAGGCTATTACAAAAGTGGATGTTGACTACTCACAATTTACAGGAGTCAGGACAGAGTTAATGCCATAGTGCTATTTTGCTTTTTTCTCTCTCTGAGTCTCAAGATTTTAAAGTGGTGTGAATTTTCCTGAGCAGCATTTCAACAATTAACATATTATTTGGTTTTGAAAACTCCATGCCTGTGGCTGCCTCTTCCCCTTTCAATTGTATTGTGTTGGCTGCAGTCACACCTCCAGTAAAAATTCATTTATAGTCTGGGCACCAGCAAACTAGAGTGGCTTGAACACCCTACAGGGAAGCAATTAATTCCAACCAAGGCCTCTTATTGTCCTCATCATGCTACTAATTTCTGCATAATGTAAACGTACATTTGCCACTGCCTGTTATTCTCTTGCTGCTAACACCACAGTTTCTATTAACAGAGTGGGCCTGGCGTCTCTCCTGTTCTTCTCTGAAGAGT